TAACAATTCGATTGCCTAAGCATCGTTTGCCTACATTACTTTTGCCGATAGTTTGCATACAAAAATTATTACCTACAGCTCCATGGCCTATCACTTTTGCATACAAATAAAAATTTCAGAAAACGAAGTCATATTTGCTTACATGTATTATTATCTACAGCTCGGTTGTCTACAAGCACTTCTGCGCACAAATATAAATTTAAGATTAAGTAAGAAAATAATTTGTATGTTTAAAGAGAGTTTATGTTTTTAAAGCAGATAATTTGTGTTTTAAGACAGAATTTGTGTTTTAAAACAGAATTTGTGTTTTTAAAGCAGATAATAGCACATGTAGACAATGGAGTTATAAATAATAATTTTTGTATGTAAACGAACTGTTGGCAAAAGTAATGTAGGTAAACTATATTGTAGGCAATTGCTTTATAGACAAATGGGATTCTCTCCTATGCTTCTACTATTTTTAATTAAGATTTTTAAGATATTTACCCAAACAAATGAATTTAATAGTAACAAGTATATGCAAGGAAAAGATGGAGAAATGACTCACGCTCAAAAAAGTAAGGCCACTAAATACCACTGCTATGGTACTGAATCCTACCGATGATAATACTATATATCGAACTGTCATAGTAACATCTTTTGCATATCTGTAATTAGCTGTTAATTACTTCCAGTTTTTTTAATTAATTTTATTATGTACACTATTATAGAATTAATTATAGAATTAATTATTATAAAATTATTATTAATTATATTAATAATAATTGATGTTGATTAATAAAAGTAATACATGCAGAAAAAAGATTAACAGCTGAAATATATCTGTGGCAGTTAAAATGTGTCGCTATAATGGGAAAGCTATAATGTCGTTACTGTCATAGTTAAATTTATTATCCGCTAAAATTTAGGTACTGTAGCGAAAAATATTATTTGCTAAAATAAAATGGCAATCGGCAGCGTCCCAGAAATAATTGCGAATAAAATGTTCGGTTACGCAGCTAAGATAAGTAAGGAAATAGCTGCCACTTACTTAACTACTCATATTAAGTATGCTTTTAATTTTAACTAATAAAGTTGGACGTTGGCAGCAAATGTATTTTATCTTCAATAGCCAACTTTATTAGCAATATCAAAAAAGTTTCAAGTAGTTGTAGTAATTGATTTAGCGAACATTACTAAATCTTTTTTTTGCGTGTATAAGTTTAAAGAGATGTTTATATCAGTTAAAAATATCAATCAAAAAATCAGCTAAAAAAGCTAATATTAACTGATGAATGAAAATTAGTTGAGAAATGTTCAATACAATTAAGCGAAGAAGACCATATTCGGTCAAGGCGGGTGCCTTGTAATAATTGGTATCAGTAATATTAAATTATTTATCAATTTAATTTGCGATATTCTGTAATCCAGTTTCAGTTTAAGACTGTGTTTTAAAACTGACAAGCTCCTTATAGTTTGCTTGAATTGGAAATTGTAAAATTCACACAAAATATACTATTGGGCATTATAATTCGCTTTGATCAAATATGTAATCTTCTGCGCTTATGAATTAAATACTTATACTAAAGTCACACTAGTAAGAATTGACACATAAGCGATCCTCTTCGTGATTGGTGCCATCATATTCACCAGTTTGTTAATGTTTAGTGAATGTAAGTGAATAGATGAGAGCAATTTTTATAAATGTAGTATCATGTTTTTATTAAGATAGTGATACCGGAGCGGACATTTTTTTCGGTTTGAATAAATTATTGAATAAATTATCTTAAAATAATTATTGCCAATCTAATTTTGGCCGTATCACTAATCTAAATTTGGCCAATCTAAATTTGGCCCCCTTCTTATTTTTCCGAAGGAAGATGTCATTTATTAAAGAACAATAAGAATTATTAGCCATTTCCAATAAAACTGAACATGGCGTCCTTCCGATTTTGTGTCTTGTGTCTCTCTCTCTAGAGTGGCTCTATTCTATGCAAGTAGAGATGCTATTGTTGATTATCGATAAGTAATCGATAATTTATTGATTAATTTAAATTTATCGATATTGTTAAGATATATGATATTGTTAAGATACAGTTTTAAATATGTATTTACATATTTTTTAATAGTTTCACTTGATTTGTCACCAATGTTGAGAAAAATAATTTTATTACACAGTTAGAAAAAGTTTGTGTTAATATATTTCACATGTCTTAAATGGTCCATTTAAATCTTTGTGTTAATTAGCAAGATGAAGTGCAAGATGAGTATGTTAAAGAATGACACATATTTTTATTATACTGAAAATAAGAATAGTTGTAATAATAAACTAAACATAGCTATGTAAAAAAAGTTAAATACAATAATGATTAAATAATATTTATTCATTTGAAAAATAGGAACAATGACGTTGTTTGTATAGCTAACTTTAATAGAACATATAATCAGAGTTGGAAATGTTACCTTAAAAAAATAACGCGTTACTGTTACACTTTTTGTTAAAAATAATTCGTTACTCATTTTAAAAAATAATTTACCGTTATTTGAAAAAGTAATAAAATTGTTTCTATTTTGTTACTTTTCGAAAAATTGTTGAGCTCTTTCATATACGATATTGATAAAATTAGGTTTATTCGATGCATTCTCGCATAAAAAAATGATCTGGCAGAAACAATCGTTTCTAAATTTAATTCGGTAATTTAAATTACCGAATTTAAATTAAATATTGTTTTTAAACTTTAATGTCGTTATTAAGAAATATTTTAAGATTCACTTCCAGTACTGAAAATCCTTAGTATGTATGTAATGTGAATTACAAATTTTCAACACTGATACTATTGTAATTACTGGAATGCAATCTGAGAGATAAAATATGTATATAAAACATTTTTTATAAAATAAAAATGAGAAAGTAAACATTTTATAATTATATTTATTGCAAGTAATAATAAAGTAATAATAAATAAATAACCTTTTATTATATATAATACTTACACTGTTAAATTGTAAATATATATATTTATACTCAATATATATACTCACACAAGTATTTAAAAAAATTTTAAGTAATTTGCTCATTGTTATAACGATGACGCAACTTGGATTACTAGAAATACACAAAAACGAAATATCTTTCAGCACCAGCGAAATTGACATATGATCCAATCCGACCCATCCAATAAAAATTAAAGTAACGACTGAATCGTTATTGTTACTGCAAAAATATAACAGTGGTACCGTTATCGTTAAAGATAGAAAATAGTAACGATTGTTACCGAAAAAAAAAACTGACGAAAAAAGAAACGAGTTACTTCCCAATTCTCTATATGATTAACCTTATTATTTAAAAAACTGAAGATTAATTAAACTTTTCTTTCATTATTCTTAATCTTTATCTTTATTAACACTCAAGATAGTAAGCATATTCACATGCTTTGGTTGCAGTCGCATTCTTCTATCTGAAAGAATTTGTCTAGCTTTTGAAAAAAACTTTTTTACTGGGGACTGGTAGCTGGAATACATATTGTAATGTAATTTGCTTCAGATTTAGGTAATTTCTCATTCCCCCTGTCGTCCTCCATGTGGATTACATTTTCTATGAATTACTTTGGGATGTAAATACCTACAATCATTTTTTTTTTATATTGTAGGGAAGAGTGGAAGAGTAGCGGACTTCTAAGCGAAAAATTAATTAAAAAATTAAAACTGTCAATTATTTTTATTAATTAATAAAAGTCTTTATTCAAAAGATACTTTAGTTATTTATCTTTAACTACGGTAATTAACATTCATATATTAGCAATAAAAACTGTAATTTTAAATGAAACGTAAAATTCTTACTGTCGGGAGTTATCCGCCGCTATGTGAGGTAATACCGAATCAATTTTGTTTTTTGTTTAAATTTATAGTTTATGTTAATAGTATACAAATGTTAATCATTGTAATTTAAAGTTAATATTTTTAAATAATTTTTTTAATAAAGATTTCTCTAATTAATAAACAATCGCCGGCTCTAATTAATTTTTTCCTTAGATATTCACAATCTCCTCTGTGAAATCATTAAAATCATTAAAAACATGTAACAGTATTTTGATTCAGTGTAATGTTTATATAAAAATAATGATTAATAAAATTTTTAATGAAATTTTTATATTTGTAAATTACAATTTAATTATCTAAAGATAAGCATATATTAAAAAATGAAAATGTTAATCTAAAAAATTATTAATATTTATTAGATATAAATTTGATATAAAGAAAAATTTGTTTTATAGAGACTTTAGAATTTGAAGTTTTAATATTAATTTTTGCAAATTAATATTGATTACTAAATAATGCAATTTTTAAATCTAATATCTTACTTTAACATTACGAAAAAATAATGAAAAAAATTTAATTTAATTATTATTAAATTATCAATATAATTCACGATATTACTATTCTGGTTTCAGTTATTGGTGAGTTCATCAAGTAAATCAAAATAACAGTAAGACAATTTAATAAAACACTATTATATTTGGTCAAAGCGGATTTTAATGCTTTAATACTTCCGTGTGAATCATTAGCATCAAAAGTTTTAAAATTGCTTATCAATTTAATAAATAAAATTACTCTGGTTCTGCTCATAATTGTGTTCCAAGACCGAAAAAAATTTTGGCACGGTGTGCATGATCAAATAGATATAAATTTACATGGAAATACTTAAGCATTAAGATTTGCTTTGACCAAATATATAAGGATTTCTTTTATTTAATTAGATTTATTCTCATCAGTCGAAAGTATTATAATTGTCTAGCAATAAGAACTGTCGAGCAGTTTAATATTTTTATCAGAATTTATCTTTTTTTATCGATATTTAATCGATATTATAATCAATAATTTATGTTATTGATATATCATAAAATATATATAAAGTATATATCGATATTTATCGATAATTTTATCATTAGCAACACCTCTACATATAAGCATATAATTATTTTTAAAGAAGACGTTATGCGTTGTATTACATAATTTACATATTACCGTAATAGTCGTTGATGCAGTTGTATACAGATTATGAATTCTGAGATGCTTGTACTTTTCTGAAATTTATGGGATAGTATCTCGAATCTTGCTACTGTGAACCAAAGTAGAAGAGCTATGAAGATGTTGCTACATACTTGCGTACGACTTTGGTATACAGCCATTATATGATGCAAGTAAATAATAGTTCTTAGTGGTTGTTTATTCACATCGAATGGATACTCAACTTCGATTGGAAAAGATTGAGCCAACAATAATGGTCCGAACCACATTATTATAGCTGTCGCGGTCATTAAACACATTGTCGTACCGTAAAATAATTTGCATTTGTTGATATATCGCTGAAATATGTTTCTCTCTTCTGATTTTGCTTGTTGAATATAATCTTTCATTTCGTATATTATGATCTGCATAAATATATTATGTAATCTCTTATTAATTACAGAATTAGCAAAGAAAGTTTATTTGTACACTAGTTAAATTTATTTATCAAAATGGCAGTATTTCCTAAATATATTTTTAATTATGACTTTTTAAATTTTGAGCAAATTAAACTTTACACAGTACAAATATAAGTATAATATAATAGTTCAATTTGAACTGTTTCGTATTGTAGAACATATAATATAATATAAAATATTAGTAAATGTATATTACTGTTTGTATATTCTTTCACGATATTAATGAAAGAGTTTAAAAGAGAGTTTAAAAAAAGTTATTTAAAATTTTTTTTTAAGTGCGATCAAGACATATTAATTTTGTTAAATAGGTTTTTTAATTTAGAAACAAAATACACACAGATGTAAATAAAGAAAAGTTATAAATAATACAATAAGAGTAATAATAAAATTCATTGAGTGAAGGTTTTAATGAGAAATTTGTAGTTTATAAAATTTGAAAAATGATAAAAAATAAAATTATTTTCTTAATAAATTTGAAAAAGTTGAAAAATTTTGCAGTTTACTTTAGGGATCTCCTTGAAGATCATAAAGTCAACATCGCTCGTTATTCGTTAAAAAGTTATTAAGAAGAAAATTTGTATTCTATATAATAAAAAGAGACATCATTTTTTTAACTTTTCTTCTTAATATTCTTTTTAACGAATAACAAGTGACGGCTAAAAGTTGAGCTGTTGAAAGTTGTTCCTGATGATCTTGACAACATATGTGAAGGTCAAGGTCATCGGAGAAGTCATCTTACCTAAAGTGAACATTTACTGTTTCTTGTATTGAGAGGTATTTAATATCATAATACGTATTTTAATATGAAAAATAATAGTAGATTAGAAAATCTGGAAAAATGGCCAAGATTTTGTGAGATCTTAAATATAATCTAATGCCTCAGTTCTTGGCGATTAGAGATATATTTATATTTATTGTCATGTATGTTGAATTACTATATATTTGTGTGTATAAAAATTTAAAAAATATATTCTTTTTTTATTTTTCAGAATCCAATCAAATTTAAAAAAATCGTGTGAGTAATAAATGATATACATATATTTTCTTTATGTATATATAAATTATATATATATAT